TTGATCCTGTCCTAGCAGAAGGGCTTGATTAGCTGAACGTTTTTGGATACTCCAATGATGGCTGCAAGCACTGAAATGTTACAGTAACACAAATAGATACAACTGCACAAACCTTTGGGTGGCAGACCGTGTTTCCAAAGATGGACCTGAACTCAAAAAGTAAAGATTTGCCATCTTACAGGGAACATGTAAAAATGCTAAATAGTATTTTTTTTTCTTCAGGACCTCATGAAATGGCAGTACACTTCTGGACGTGTTACTGCTCCCAGGCACTCCTGTTATGGAGAGTCATTGCTGTATATCTGGACCATTAAAGGCATTACTGCCCTTTCTCAGGATATGTGGGATGAGATTAGATAATATACCTGAGATCATGCAAACAAGCATTCATTCTGTGGAGTTGTACTGTCTGAACCTCTTCTGCTGCTTCTGCACCCACCAGTCATCAGGGAGGCAGGACATGAGAAAGCAAATCTTGCTTCTCTACCAAGATGGCTGCCTCTACATTCGTGTTATTTCAGCAGCTTGGCGGGTGTGTTTTAGTACTTACATTTTTAGTACTCGTTCAAATAGCCTATTATTTCTATTTCAGCAGTCTGATTTTATATTACTTTTTTGCACATTTTCTTTTTGATGTGTAGCACTACCCCCATAGGCGTCGCTTAGTTTTGGGTCCCCCTACAGTTCAGCACAGCCAGGCAACATATATTTTCTTCCTCCACACTTGCACACTGGAGACAGTAACCAGTCCTTAGGCTTGTCTTTGTAGTTTTATTAAGGGGTATTGACCTTGGATAGGGTTGAGGGATGCCCAAGGAACTGTGAACTGTGCTTAGCCATAGACTTTTCTAATATCCTGTGGGTTTGGTGCACTTTCTGAAAGCGCACTCGAAATCTTGAATGCAGGAGTTTTGGTTCACTTTCAGTAAGTGCACCACAGCTGCAGGATATAAGAGAAGTCTGTGACAAAGCGCAGCTAACCCTGGAAAATCCGCAGATGCACTAAACTGTAGCACATCAGTGTGGCAGCAGCCATAGAAGCTGCTCAGAACAGTAAGGATTAATTTACATTTGCAGTTTGGGGGGTGGTATAACCCCATAGATAAGACAGGTTTTTACCACCCCAGCACAAACCGCACCCCCTTTAGCTGCAGTGGGCAGGGGTGTTCACATGTCGCATCTGCTGCAGGACTTATATGCCCTGTCATGGTTGGTGGGTGTAGCACCTGCCAATAATGACCCATTCATGTGAATGAGACTGCTCTTCAAATGCCCTGCAACCTTGTACAGTAAAAAAAAAAGGAGTTAAAGGAGGCAGGGTTGTGTTTCTTTCTCACCACCTGCTTTAACCTCTTGGACCCTGCAGAAGCACGCAGTTGTGGGGCACTTGCAAAGTTGCCTCATTTATTTATTTATAAAATTGCCAAAAGTATCGGGACGCCTGCCTTTACACGCACAAGAACTTTAATGGTATCCCAGCATTAGTTCGTGCAACACAACGCCTGCTTTCACACACTTTAATGGTCCCAGCATTAGTTCGTAGTCAATATATTGAGTTAGCCCACCCTTTGCAGCTGTAACAGCTTCAACTCTTCTGGGAAGGCTGTCCACAAGGTTTAGGAGTGTGTCTATGGAAATGTTTGACCATTCTTCCAGAAATGCATTTGTGAGGTCAGGCACTGATGTCGGACGAGAAGGCCTGGCTCACAGTCTCCGCTCTAATTCATCCCAAAGGTGTTCTAAATTGGGTTGAGACCAGGACTCAAGCCAGTCAAGTTCCTCCACCCCAAACTGGCTCATCCATGTCTTTATAGACCTTGCTTTGTTGGGAGCATGAAATTGTCCAAAATGTCTTGGTATGCAGACGCCTTAGGATTTCCCTTCACTGGAACTAAGGGGCCAAGCCCAACCCCTGAAAACCAATCCCACACCATAATCCCCCCTCCATCAAACTTTACACAATGCAGTCAGGCAAGTACCCTTCTCCTGGCACCTGCCAAACCCAGAAAAGTCCAATGGATTGGCAGACAGAGAAGTGTGATTTGTCACTCCAGAGGACACTTCACAATGCTCTAGAGTCCAGTGTCAGCATACTTTCCACCACTGCATCCAATGCTTTGCATTGCACTTAGTGATGTAAGGTTTGGATGCAGCGGCTCGACCATGGAAACCCATTCCATGAAGCTCTCTACGCACTGTGGTGCTAATCTGAAGGCTATATGAAGTTAGGAGGTCTTTTGCTATTGAATCTGCAGACAGTTGACAATTTCTGTGCACTATGCACTGACCCCGCTTTGTCATTTTACATGGCCTACTACTTTGTGGCTGAGTTGCTGTTGTTCCTAGTTGGTTCCACTTTGTTATAATACCACTAACAGTTGACCATGGAATATTTAGTAGCAAGGAAATTTCACTGATGGACTTATTGCACAGGTGGCAACCCATCAGGGTACCACGCTTGTATTCACGGAGCTCCTGAGAGAGACTCATTCTTTCACAAATGTTTGTAGAAGAAGTCTACATGCCTAGGTTCTTGATTTTATACACCTGTGGCCATGGAGGTGACAGGAACACTGGAATCCAATGATTTGGAGGGGTGTCCCAATACTTTTGGCAATATAGTGTAGGTTCAGAGCACACATACTGTATCTTTGGCCAGTGGACCTTGGCGTAAAATATAATATATATAAGTGAATAAAGAAATCTTACTGGACCAATAGACAATAAAAGGTTCCATGGGATGCATAAACACATACTCACATATTGATGTGTTCATCTGGTGTAAAAAAAAAAAAAAAAAAATATTTTATGATCAGGCTGTATGCATTTGTCCAACCACCATCTAAAGTCTGTGTTGCTAAGGAAAGAATATGTTAAGCTGCCCATAAACATTAGACAAGAGATTGGGCGTTTGCATACAATCTGTCATCTAACATCTATGATTGTCTTTAAATGTTTTCTCCTCTAGGTTGCCTTGACGTGAATGATAAAAATGGCTAATAATGAGCTGTTTGTGTGTTTTTTCCTCTGCTCACAAGCGGGGAGTGTGGGCAGCTTCTTCTATGGCTTTCCAAGAACTATAAATAATCAATCATAGAGGATGCTGCAGTATCAGGTTAATATTTCGTTTAGATTTGTGTTACGATTCTGATAGTGAGCTGTTTTTTTTTTTTTTTTTTTTCAACCAAGTGCATTTCTTTTCTCCTATAATAGATGGCCCACATGCACAGAATAAACGCAACTGAACATCAATAAAAGAAGATTTTTATACTTACTGTAAAATCTTTTTCTTCATGTCCACTGAGAGACACAGTTTAAGAGTTCTTAAAGCGGTAGTAAACCGCCATAACATAAAGAAATAATTAGGCTCCCTGCAGGTTTAGGTCATAATGTACTAGTATGCACAGCATACTGGTACATTGTATCACAGACTTACCTGTACTTGGAGCCATCCAGCGCCACGCTGTCAGGGCTCCCTGGTGGCACCACTATCTTCATTCAGTCTTCCTTCCGTGTTCATGGGCACTATGAATGGCTGGAGTCGCGATGATGTCACTCCTGCACACGCATGGGAGCCCTTGGCTGCAGAACGGAGCTCTGAAGGTCAGGCACGCTGTGACGTCCCTTCAGAGCGCATGCATGGGTTCCATCACTGGCTGCATGCTGTGTGAATATCTCCTAAATGGTAAGTTAAGACATTCACTGTACCTACAGCTAAGCCTTATTATAGGCTTACCTGTAGGTACAACTTTCAAAGTAGACTTTACTTGCTCTTTAAAAAGTTGTGGTTATACCGGTGCATGAGAAACCGCCACACAAAAAATTTTAAAGCGACACTAAATGCACAATTAAGAAGTCAAATCATTTTAGTCTGTATTCCCATCATAAACAATAGCCTCTACTTCTCAGTGATCTCTACTGCTCCCAAATTACATGATCTTGCTGCTGTTCTCTGATTCTATGTTAGAGGGTGCCTACTTTCATTCTCCATGGTTTTGATGTATGTTGGAAAGTAGCCACTCTCTAAATCTCACTCCCAAAATAGACTACAAATGAACATGTGGATGCACACAGCACTAGCACATATTTTCACTTCATTCCTCAGGTTAGCGTAATAACCGCCCACTTATCTCCATCCTCCAGTCTTTTGGTTGACAGTGGAAAACAGAACAACATATATGGGGGCTGGTGTAACATTTTTGTTTGCCATTGTCCCAAGCTCTTGTAGGTGGCAATATAACCCTGTTTGAATTATTAAACCCTTGTCCCGTATTGGATGATAAAGAAACCCGCTTAGAAGTAATTCAATACGGCTACATGTACAATGAAGCTCCCTTAGATGCCAAATTCTCCTGGCCTATGAAAAACGCTAAACGCCGGAGTAATTGCCATTGAAATTAATAAAACCTCAAGCGCTAAAACACAACATTTTTGCTATGTTTTGCAGATTTTTTTTTTTTTAACCTCCCTAGCGGTCTGATTATGTCCACATTTCTGTGCTCAAGCAGTACATTTTTTTGCATGGAAATATGTTTCTTTTTTATTGTAGGCCTGTAATTTTTAGGAATAACTCACTGAAATCTGTCCGAACAAGAGTCTAGTAAACATCCTGGGTATGCTAAAATTTGAAACATGAAATCATAAATTATAATTTAATAAATACTCATAAAAAATAATACAATAATAATAAATTTAATTCAATAATATATATTGAAATTTGAAACATAGCGCCAAGTCGCAAAATCGTTTTCAGTGTCTGATGACAAATTTCCCCACAAATCATTATCACTCAATTCTGCAAGTGGTTCTAATTTACGATCGCTGTTCTCTAGCTGGTCTAAAACTGATTTTGACCTAAAGGGACACTTTTTGGACGCTATGGATGTTTCTCAGTTTCCAGGCAATAAGAACAGTAAAAATGTAGGCAGAGCACAGGACAAAGCACTCGGGACAAAATGTATGTGAAATGGTTTGATACAGTAATGTTTTACTATGTGATTTTAGTGTATTTAGTGAATGTCACTTTTTGTCATTTTCAAATTTCCCACCATTCTGTCCCCCGTACATCCAGACGCTCGCAGGTGACGGAACCCAGAAGACAGATGCCGGCATCCACCGGATTACATTGCCGGGGACACTGCAGGAGGGACATCACGGGAGCGCAGGACAAGGTTAGTGAAGAACAGATGTCGGAGCAGCGCCGCATGGTAAGCCCGAGTGTAGCTCGGGGTTACCGCTTTTGGTACTGAAACTTTACCCCGAGCTACACTCGGGAATACCGCCAGGGAGGTTAACTAAAACATTCCTCTCCTGAACACGATTCTTCTGTGGACATTTAACTGCTCCTAAACGCTGCTGCTGCTAAACTCTCAACAAGAAGAACATCTCCTGCGCTCAAGAGTGGTAAGATGATGGGAATATTTCTGGTCCTTAAAAACATCCATCATCAGCACAGGAGGCCTTGTTGCCCTCTAAGGGTTGGGGAAAATCCAAAGGACTCAATGCAAAACTCAGGTAATGCACTAGGCTGGTGCGCCCTCTTTTTCCTTGTTTGGCTGCTAAACTCTGACTAGAGACTATGTGCACATGGATACATCGATTTTTTATTAAGCAAAGTTTAGGGACTTTGGCAAAAACACCAAAAGCTTCTAAACTCATGTACACTCCTTTAGAAGCAGTGTACATGAGTTTAGAAGGGCAACAAGGCCTCCTGTGCTGATGATGGATGTTTTTAAGGACCAGAAATATTCCCATCATCTTACCACTCTTGAGCGCAGGAGATGTTCTTCTTGTTCAGAGTTTAGCAGCAGCAGTGTTTAGGAGCAGTTAAATGTCCACAGAAGAATCGTGTTCAGGAGAGGAATGTTTTAGTTAACCTCCCTGACGGTATTCCCGAGTGTAGCTCAGGGTAAAGTTTCAGTACCAAAAGCGGTAACCCCGAGCTACACTCGGGCTTAAAGCAGTGAATCTAAAAAAAACATACATAAGTGTCTATAATGGATAATAGAGCATGGTTTCCAGTAACATACTATGTAGATTGTTCGGTAGAGCTTGTACTAGGTACTAATACAATACATAATGTAATAATTGCATAATATTATAATCTAACATCTGTTACATAGTCTGGCTGAAAAAAGACAAAAGCCCATCTAGTTCAATCATAAAAAAAAAAAAAAAAAAGTTATAATCCTATACTAACAGTTGATTCCTAGGAAGACAAAAAAAAAAACAGCAAAAGCATGATCCAATTTGCTCCTGCAGGGAAAAAAATTAATTCCTGATCCCGAGAGGCAATCGCATATTCCCTGGATCATCTTTACCTATAAATGTTAGTATCCAGTTATATTATGTATGTCTAGGAAAGAATCCAGGACTTTTTTAAAGCAATGTACTGAGCTGGCCAGAATCAACTCTTGAGGTAGTCTAGTCCACATTTTCACAGCTCGTACTGTGAGGAAACCTTTCCGTATTTGGAGATTAAATCTCTTTTCCTCCAGACATAAAGAATGCCCCCTTGTTTTTTGTGATGACCTCAGGGTGAATAACTCTACACTGAGTTCACTATATGAACCATTGATGTATGTACACGTGTTGATCTTATCCCCCCTTAATCTCCTCTTCTCAAGAGAGAATAAATGCCCATTCATAAAACTTTAATCAGAGCTTCCAGAATAAATTTCTCATGAACTAATAAACACCGACTACTTGAGATGCTTAAAAGTCACATATACCTATGAATGACATGAATATAATTTGAATTTATATCACTCTTCGCTTGATGTGCACAAAGTTGGCCACTTGCTTTAAGACTGCAAACGTATCTATGAATTTTTTACCTGCACCATCTCCTCTACAGCAATCCAAATTTTGCTTCTCACAAATGGTCAAACAACATCAATGCAATGCATAAAAAAATGGTCCCATAAACTATGATTACCACAAGTGATTTTCCAGATTCAAGAATAACTTGTGATAACTGGGTACCACAAGTTTTATGAGCAAGCAAGAATGGGTTTCACAAACCTGCAAAAAGCATCAGTGGCTGTCCAAATGTTTTGGCACGCTAAAATATTTCATATAGACCTGTTAAAGTGAACCTGTGAATATAGTAAAATCAAAAGTACGTGGACACTCCTCCAAATATTAAGTTCAGATGAAGAAAAACAGGTCCATGGAAGCCAAAGAATCGCAGTAACTACAGGGCCTCCAGGTGGTTCTGCAGTAGGTATTCCTTCTACAAGTTGTATGGGCTGCCAGCCAATGCTATCAGCTGCCTAGTGCTAATGTTACTTCACAGTGTACCAAAATAACCTCCTCCGTTACCCCACACACAAACCATGCATGCACAAGTACGCATCCACACACCTACTTTCCTTAACATTTTTTTGCCAATTTTATTTACTAGTTGTCTATATTTTGTTTAAGTAAATTTTTTTGCAGGATTTTGTATGGTTTCATTACAGAAATACTCAGAATTGTAAAACAGCTTCAATTCTTTATTATAGCGGACTTCTGGTCTTCAAAAAAAGATTAAAAATTAGCAGCTTCAGCTGCTGACTTTTAATATAAGGCGACTTACATGTCCCAGTCTCCGGCGATGTCCGCACCCGAGCTGAATTCCTTAATCTTAATTAAAGGAAACCAGCAGTAAAGCCTTCCGGCTTTACAGCCGGTTTCCTTCTGAGCATGCATGAGCGGGGCTGCACTATGTGATTGGTCCCGCAATCTTCTGGGACCTGTGATGTGTCCCAGAAGGCTGTGGGGGGGAATGGGGAGGGGCCAGATATCAGCACAGTGAACTCAGCCAAAAGTGGGAGCGGTTACCTGTTAAAATCAGGTACCAGCTCCCCTTCCCCCCAAAGAAGTGCCAAACATGGCAGTGGATGGGGGGGGGATGCTAACATGAGTAACTTCCCCTTTTTGGTGCAGTTACACTTTAAATAACTTCATCATGTTCTCTACCAGAAACATAACTTTAGCCCTGGTTCACACCAGTGCAACTTGTCATGCGACTTGACAGTTCAAGTCCCACCCATTTGTGGCAACGGAGCCGTTGAAAAAAGGTTCCTGAACTATTTCTGTGTATTTCTGAGTGTTAGAATGAAACTGCACTAAATAGTCGGCTTTGAAGTCGTGCTGAGTAGCATGACTTCAAAAATGCACCAGTGTGAACAAGGGCTTAGGCAGCTTTTAAAAATGGACAAATAGCAAAATCACAGAATTTTTGCAAAGAGACTGAGTAGTTAAAAGCTACCTTAGTTACCAGATGGAAGAAAAAAATGTGTTAATTGTACTATTAATAAAAACCTGGCTCTGATTAAGCATGCTAACTATGACTAAATCACACTGCTTTAACCATGCCCATGGTTGTCACAGTGCTCTACACATGCTGCAACACAACCTCCCACTGCATTATGTGGCAATCCAGCAGAAAGTGGTGGTCATTTCTGCCCAGTGTGTACAAATGTATAGGCATGACACTACTGCTCTAAGGCTAGCTTGACACAACACTGCAGTAAAGCACATTAACTGCATTGGTGAGTTGCAATACTATACATTTTAATTGGCACCACAACGCACAATAGTGCACTAGCATGGGTTACGTTGCACTGTGCCCAAAAAATAGTGAAAAAGTGAAGCACTTTTTGTTTGTTCTGGCGTGTTGGTAGCCCATTCGAATTAATGGGCTGCCTTAACATAACGCACATAAATATGATTACATTAACACAAAGGACAGGTATGAAGAGACCCAAAGGCTTCATGTGTAAGACTATAGGGGTTGGTGAATTTCAAACATTTGGGAATGATATGGAACAAGGCTTTCCAACTGCTCCAATTCCAATCACTATACCCGACCCCCCCCCACCCAAATGAGCCTCAGATCAGAAGTGGGGGTTCAAGTTGGCACCTAGGACTTTGCCTAATATGAGTAACCATTTTTTTGGACAATCAGGGTCTACCGTTTTACACATTACTGGCATTAAATTGTGTGATCATGCTTAGAGAAGCATAACCCATAAAGATGGCTTCAAGACTGGGCAGGTGAGTGACTAAGTTGAACTACCTAACTGTAGGACAGAATTTGGAGTCAACAATCGGCTTTGCTGTCTGGCAGCTTTTCATGGATCACAAGAATGTATGAACAGAATTGTAAAGCCTATTTTTATTTAGTGTATTTCATGCAGTTCTGCTTTAAGAGAGAAAACAGTGTAGTACTATGGCACATGGAAGCTTGTGCTGGATTGGAAAGTTTCCTACCCGCTACATTAGGACTACACTGATACAGTCACAGGAATCACTTTGAAAACAAAACTCCAGTCATCTATCTCTGCAGTGTTTAGTCATTTGAAGAACATGAGGTCAGGCAATAGATGTGTATACATATGTGACAAATACAATAAAAAGCTAAAGCGAAGTTATAATGTACCCAACAATGTACATAACGTTAGAGCACCTTTTCACCTCAAATAATGGTGCCTGACAAACATATTTACTGTGAGAACTTACAAGAACGACATCTGTAAAAGCTTTGATTGTGTCTCTGCTCAGTGGTGGATCCTAGGGAGCAGCGCTACTCCATACAGCTCAATATTAGTTTCCCTGTGGGAGCAAACACAGCCAAAACAGTAGAAACTTCAATGGCCCAGTCTTGACGTTTAAATTATGTGTCTTGCTCAGTGGTGGTCGGGTTTCAGCCTTACTTACACTGGCCATGCCTCTGAGCGCTGAACACCGTTGTACTTCTGGGCACTCCAGATAGCTTGCAGTTATGGAATATGACAGCACTGGAGGATAATGGGTTCCTGGTAACTTCACATTTGATTCTTCTCAAATGTTTGGCAATTAATTTGCATCTTTTTTTCTCAACATGTTTCTTGCGACCCTGTTGACTATTTGCAACAAAACGCTTGATGGTTCTGTGATCACGCCCCAATATCTTAGCAATTTCAAGAGTCAAGAGTGATGCATCCTTCTGAAAGACTTTTTACAATTTTTCACTATTCAGAGTCAGTCTAATCTCTTTTTTGGCCCATTTTGTCTGAGTTAAAGAAGCTGCCTAATAATTATGCACACCTTGATATAGGGTGTTGATCTGCTTAGGCCACACATCCCCTCATTACACAAATACACGTTTTCTGATATGCTTAAATCCAATAAGCATTCAGGTTTACACAGCTTGGAGATGGGCACTATGCATAAAAAATATGAGTTGGTCAAAAGACTCGCTTGCCTAATAATTGTGCACACAGTGTAGTCCTTAAGTACTCCCCAACAAGGTATGTTTACAGAATTTTTCTCAGATAAAAGAGTTGTGGTAAATACTCAGCAAATGAAACACATTAAATCATATGCTCTGTCATATGGGAGTAAGACTGATGCAGTCCCTGTACAGCAGGGAGATAGAAAAAGCAGCACAAAAAAAATAGTTTCATGTGCTGACAAAAAACCTGTTGACAGTAGGATAACAAATGCCAGAGAGATGAACTCATCACTGTGCGGCTTCCCCTGCACTGTCTAGTCATAGGCTCGGCACCATGGAAGGGGCTTGAATGATGCGGTTTGTTATTCAAGTCAGAAACAGGGCGGACTGACCATTTGGAAACTCGGGCACTGCCCGAGGGCCCGGGGTCAGTAGGGGGCCCCATGAGATGCCCCTGGTACCTTTTTCATAGACGTTTTTGAGTTTGGGCAAGGACACAGGGGCCCCATGATCCCCTATTGCCCGGGGCCCCATGAGTTGTCAGTCCGCCCCAGTCATAAAACATAAAATCGACTGGCAGAAAACAAGATCTGCAAGGGATAGCTCCAGATAGAAGGAGGTGAGTATTGAAACAATATATATATATTTTTTTTTATTATTTTTTTTGGCTGGAGTGCTACTTTTACTCCATGCACAAAGTTGTATGTAGTTGGCGCCTGGGCATTAAATTCTTCAATTAAAATGGTGACAGTCAGGTACTTTTGTAACTTTCTTCAGAATATTTCACAATTGAGTCATACATCAGACAACGTTATATCCTATGTTAGAAAGACTCCTATCAGCAAGAGCTACAGTCCTTTGTAGGTCGAACTTTAGTTTTCCATGGGATACCATTGTCTCATAGGCCTGATGGCTGCCCCTTTCAAGCCTCTTCCTTTACTGAAAAACTGTTTTATGGCACTGCCCGTTCAATGTGATCTTTAATTCGTTACCATGAACTCTATGTTTTCAATATAACACCGGAAGCTCTTCAGGGCAGAGAATCCTTTGTCGCAGCTAGCAGCACAGTAGTGCACTCTCCTCTCCCAGCAGTGCCCAGTATCTATTGATTGTAAACTCTAAAAAGTATAACCTTTCATACCTTCCATCTACACTCTGCTGTTAACTTTGCTGTCTGCTGTACTCCCTACTGCAAAGGGCTGTAGAATAAATTGACAAGAAATATATAAAAGAAGTTGAAAATGCATGACGATGAATTTAAAAACCCATTTAGATCCCATTTAATTAATTTATTTCAGGTACTTATATAGTGTTTTTAATTTACGCATCGCTTTTACATATATATTGTACATTCAAATCAGTCCTTAACCCTCAAGGGGTGTACAATCTAACGTCCCTAACTCACATTCATACATACACATACTAGGGCCAATTTAGACAGGATCCAATTCACCTACCAGCATGTCTTTGGAGTGTGGAAGGAAACCGGAGTACCCGGAGGAAACCCACGCAGGCACAGGGAGAATATGCAAACTCCAGGCAGGTGGCGCCATGGTTGGGATTCAAACCAACGACCCTAGTACTGCCAGGAAGAAGTGCTAACCATTTAGCCACTGTGCTGCCCGTTTAATGTTGTGTTTTAACACCTGTATTCTGATGTGCTAAAACACGTTTTATGTCCAATTTGTTTTGCATTTTAGTGTGTTGGGAGACCCATAGAAGTCAATGGCAAAACAGCAAAATGCATATAAAAAGGTGTTTTAATGCACTGGCAACAGCTATAACCAAACCTTAGTCAATAGTTGTTAACCCTATCCATTCCAAATTCTAAAATTAAAAATGCATTCAAAAAGCTCATCAATATGTGTGAAAACGTGTCATTGTCCAAAGGAAAGGCATAATCACACATGATAACACACCTGCCTATTGCAAAATATTGCACTTCTATCCAGTATGCATGAATCTAAATGGGCACCCCTAAGGACAATAGCATAAACTGTACTATCAATTACTCACAATACAGAGGGATCTGTGTATAAAACAATTTCCATGTGAGTGTCTTAAATCAGAGTTTCTCAACCTTTTTGAAAACAAAGGAACCCTTGAAATAACCTTCTGGTCTCAGGGAACCCCTGGTAAAAATATTACACAACACGATAGGTGTTAAAAAAAAATCTACATGACACATTAGTGTGATGGTCAGTGGCAAGAATGCTCCTTACACTTGTGGTCATTGGGAATTAATACCCCCCTTACAGATAGTTCAAAAGATCAATTATGTCAGTGGGAGAATGTATCTGAGAGGCAGAAATTGCTCATTGCTCAAAGGTTAGCACTTCTGCCTAGCAGTACTAGGGTTGTTGGTTCGAATCCCAACCACAGCACCACCTGTCTGGAGTTTGCATGTTCTCCCTGTGCCTGCATGGGTTTCCTCCAGGTACTCTGGTTTCCTTCCACACTCAAAAGACATGCTGGTAGGTTAATTGGATCCTGTCTAAATTGGCCCTAGTATTTGTAAGTATGAATGCAAGTTAGGGACCTTAGATTGTATGCTCCTTGAGGGTTAGGGACTGATGTGAATGTACAACATATATGTAAAGCACTGCGTAAAATTGATGGTGCTATATAAGTATCTGTAATAAATAAAATAATACTTCCATCCAATGGCCAAATTGGTATTGAGGTATTTCAGAAAAATACAGATACTCCTCACTTAACCCCCCTAGCGGTATGATTATGTCAATATTTCTGTGCTCAAAGTGGTACATTTTTATGCATGGAAATGTCTTTTTTTTTTATTGTAGGCCTGTAATTTTTAGGAATAACTCACTGAAATTTGTCCGAACAAGAGTCTAGTAAACATCCCGGGTATGATAAAATTTGAAACACGAAATCATAAATTATAATATAATAAATAATCATAAAAAATAAAATAAATTTAATTCAATAATATAATCAAACCAAAAACACTGAAATTTTAAAGATAGCGCCAAGTTCGTACATCGCTGAGCAAAGTCGCAAAATCGTTTTCAGTGTCTGATGACGAATTTCCCCACGAATCATGATCACTCAATTCTGCAAGTAGTTCTAATTAACTATTGCTGTTCTCTAGCTGGTCTAAAATCGCTTTTGACCTAAAGGGATGCTTTTTTGGACGCCATGGACTTTTCACAGTTTCCAGGCAGAAAGAACGGTAAAAATGCAGGCAGGGCACAGGACAAAGCACTCGGGACAAAAAATATATGTGAAATGGTTTGATACAGTAATGTTTTAATATGTGATTTTAGTGTATTGAGTGAATGTCACTTTTAAAATTTTTGAATTTCCATCCGGTTCCGTCCCCCGAACGTCCCGATGCTCGCATGGAACGGAACCCGGAAGACGGATGTCGGCATCGGCCGGAGGAGATGGCCGGGGACACTGCAGGGGGGACATCGCGGGAGTGCAGGACAAGGTAAGTGAAACAGGGATCTTGGAGCAATGCTGCAGGGTATTCCTGCGTGTAGCTCGGGGTTACCGCTTTTGGCACTGAAAGTTTACCCCGAGCTAAACTCAGGAATACCGCCAGGGAAGTTAACTAAATTCCATTCCTACGACTCGGTCGTTAAGAAAATTGGGTAGTTAGCAAGGAAACGTATATAGTAAACATATTGTTGGAGAGCTGGTCGAAAGTCTGAGAGACGGTCATTAAGCAAGGAACTGTATCCATTGGAGAACAGGTCGTAAGTCTGAGCGGTCCCTAAACAGGTAGGTCACCAAGTTAGGAGTATCTGTACTGTGTTATGGCCATTAGAATGAGCTGACAATCAAAGAGGATAATCAACAATAGAGTAATCATTCAATGTGCCTTTGTGAATGCTGAACACATCTGGCAAAGTTTTTATTAACAGACTGCTTAATGTATAATGGCTGCATAGCCTGCAATGGTCCCCAGATTATAGGTTTGGTCTCCAAAGTCAAAAGATATGTGGCCAACCAGAAATACAAAAGTTCTAAACTACATTTTCTTTGTGCAAACGGTTTATAATCGTTTACTGCAATCACATTTAGGCTCTGTTCACACCAATTACTTTTTTTTGTGCTTTTTGTAGAAACGCACTACATTCCATTTAACATAGTTTCCTATGGAACATGTTCACATCTATGCTTTTTTGAGCTGCTGCATTTTTGGAAAGGGTAAGGGACTTTTTTTTAAAAGCAAAAAGCAGCATTTTTGCTACAATGGAGTTCAATGGAGAAGCTGCTGAAGTGCATGGTAGTACATTCTTGCCGTGTTTCACATTTTTATTCTGCCCAGCAACAAAAAAGATTCCACTTTAACAAAAAAAACAAAAAACTGAACAAAAAATGCAAAATGCGGTAAAAACATGTAAACCGCGTGTAGAAAAAAAACCGCAAAACGAACTGCTAAAAGCACTGCAAAACGAACAGAAACTAAACTACAAAGGTGTGAACGGAGCCTTAATGGTACAATTCAGGCAAAAATTAAACCTAAGCTTTCAAATTCAGCCAACACATCTCACCGGTCCCGTGCTCCTGCCAGTAATATAACATCCTGGAACCACCAACTGCTCAATCGTGAATATCCAGACTCAATCTGACCCATTGTCAGTTCCTTGCTGTCTCGGACTCAGAAAGATGCACAGCACAAAATTAAATGACTATAACATCGTTCATGTAAGGATTTCACATAACAAAAGCCTGGACTGCAATGAACTCTGATTAAAGTAAACAGAATGGACTTTCCAACTTCAGACAGTTGCAAGGTTTCCTGGAAAGCACCTGCAGTTAGTTGGTTGTCTTTAATTGTTACCTCGAGCTGTTCTTTAACTGAACAACAGGTACTCTCGAGCCTTGCCCTGAGCATACTTTGAGCATACTAACCTTTGTTGATTTCTGTCAGGATGTTACTATATTGTGGAGAAAATTGTTCAAGCCAAAGTAACTCTGCTTGAAACAAAAAGATAAAATCCACAGTTAAGTTTCAAGGAGGAAAAACAAATCAATTATATGCAAGCTAGAAAATGGTTTGTCCAAAAGTTTCTGATTATGACGAAGAGCAAGGAAACACGAGAACCATTTTTCTTTTAACAATGACCAAATTTACATCTGATCGCCCAATGCCCTGTATAATTAACGAGGCCTGATATAATGGGTTTTTCTCAGTCCGCGGCGGGGCCCTGTAATCAATGTCCATTTGCAATTTCATTATGAAATAATACATTTGGGTACATTAATTGATTATTTTGCTACGACTATGGCTGTAATAAAGCAAATGTGTCCTACCTACCCATATTATTGCTGGAAAGTGATTGATGTAAATAGGAGTTTGTCAAGAACTCGGGGGCAAATATTGATTTGCAGATATGAATGGAGTAAAAAGGAAAAAAAAACTGCTGCAGTCCCTGGTGCAGACAGAAAACCGTGCTCATTGTATTGGTGTTTAAGAAAAATTATGTATGTTTAAACAGAATGTAATGTGCTCTGCCAGTTGTAATAGATTATGTAGACATCCCCAAACATTGACTAAATTCATCAAACTAAGTTTGTCATTGCTATAAAACACCAAAACGGAAGAGAAAAACTGTCACAATCTAACCAATTTAAGTGAACATATGATGAAATGATAAAAGTCCTAATTAGGAGTTTACTTTAGTGAACAGAAAACGTTAAAATGATCAGTAGAGCCAAATATATATGCAGCTCAACCAATTATTACATAGCACCAACAATTTACACAGCACGATACATATATTGGACATTCACAACAGACCCTGCTCTCAAAGAGCTTAAGCCCCATACACATGGGCCGAATATCGGACAGTATCGGCCAGTTAAATAGAAACTGGCTGACATGCAGCTGTCAAAGGGGCATGACTGAAAAAGGTCTGACGATCAGCTGAGAGAGCTGACTGATGTGTTTTGGCGGTGGACCATAACCCTGTAAGAACACAAGAGCTCAGCAGGGAGATTGCTGTACTAACATTGGATTGTTCGAACAGGATCTGCTCCCGAGCTCTTCATTAAAAAAAACAAAAAAAAAAAAACAAAAAAAAAACAAATACGGATAGTGTGTACTAGACTTTACTATGGAAGGACTCTTCCTCAGAAGCATACACACACATAATATGGCCATTTTAGACAGGCTGAGACAGACTTTGTATGGTGAAGGGGGGAGGGTGGTTAACAGGACCACCCAAAGGAAACCCTAAGAAGCATATCTGCAAGCATGAACATGCAAACTCCATGCAGGCAGTGTTGTGGTTGGGATGCGTAGCAAAAATGCAAAGTCAATGTGCTGCCATGCCATTTTATGCTAATATGGACATGTACAGGTCAAGTTTAGCCTAGTCTTCTCCCCCTCCTGAAACTCCCTACTGGTCAGTGAAGCTGTAAGAGGGGATATGGCAATGCTAAGCTCAACCATTACTGCTAAATGGAAATTTGCACATATTTTCAGCTCCTCTTTTTTTTTTTTTTTTTGGCTCTGGGCTTGTGATAGCATCAACTTCCTGGCTCCCTTCTTGTGTCAGTAAGGTTGTTCTCGGTCAATGGATTTCTCATTGCTGACCCCTGCCTAGTTCACAAATTGTTCTTCAAATTTCCACCTGAACTTGACCTTGGATTATTTACTGAACTACACTTGCTCACAATTTTCCCCTGACCCCAGCATTGTCTACTGAAATACTTGTTTGGTACTTGCCCTGACCTTGGAACTGTTTTTGACTAAATTTGCTAGCTACCTGCCCTGAATGTAGACTTTCCCAGAATTCTGCAAACAGAAACTGTCTACTACTTGACTGACCTCGAGACTACAGATACCCTTTCCTGGTCTCATTTGCTCAGTCCTAGTGCTATCTAGTCAGGAACAATAGCATTGTGTTCTAAGACCTGGGGTCAATCAAGTACTGGCTGCTTTACTGGAACAGGGACTGATTAAGGCAAAAGAAACACCAGCCAGCTATAGTTGCTGACTTAGACATTGGGCTGTGCATTACACCTATATATCTGAATCCAAAGATCACCTTTCCATGCCATTTTCATATTATTTTATCTTTATACTCCATTTTTTTCATCATATACTCTGATTATGCAATAGTAAAAATTTTATGGACTATTTCAAAGTGTACTGTGCCCTTTGATTACTGTGAAATGAAGTATATTGGCAACAGGAACAGAGGTAGAACTTTGGGAACAGAGAGTTTCCAAATCTGCCTTTCACAAAAAAGTTCTCTCACAAATCCTGTAGCTGCAAGCTATCCCCGATTTCCTTGGATATTCCAAATATATATTGTCCCCAATATTAATTCTTTTCTTTTCTTTTACATTTAGCTAAAGACATGAGCATTACAATTTGCTTTCACAACAACGACAACTTCCTGGCAGATCAATAGCAGTGGAGAAAGCAGAAAGATGTCGGAAAAATACATCATGACAACTCTGGAAGACAAAGAAATGTGGTAGAAAACAAACAGGAGCCATTGATAAACTACATAGTGATCCAAGATTCATTCATACAAATTTCACTGGTTTTCAGAAATAACCAGCTGTACCATAAATACTTTTTTTATGTGCATAATTAGATTCCAGTTCTGCCATGTAATAATGTTTTATGAGCTTTTGTGGGCAATAGTTGATTTCATTCAAAGAGTAAGTGAAGCAAAGCTGTAGGGCCACAACAAAACCAATGAGACTTGATGCGACACAAAGATCTATCCTTGGATGAGTTGTTAAAAGTAATGAGTTCTTAAGAGTCATCCCAACAGAGACTCCTGTCTATACCTTTGTGGAGGTGATAATCCCTTCTGGAACAGGTGTATGGTACCTATGAATGAGCTTTATTCATGGTGACCACCTTTCAACAGAGTGCAGCTCTTCAATAGCAATGAACAAGGCCGCAGCAACTAAAAGCTTCATACAACAGTACATGTGTCCTTTAAATTATAGTGTTGGGTACAGTATTGTACATTAACTGCTCTGCTATTGTGTTGAAGATGTTTGATGGAATCCTCTAGAACTGGAAGCAAGAGAAATTTATTGAACTTTTATATGAATAAGAAAGGAACTGTTATTTAGGGTAATCTTTAGAACAGCACACAGGATCATATGACCATACAAACTACAAAAACAAAATAAATTATTAAATCAAGGACTTTGAACCATATTTAGTCCAGGTTTACACCTGTGCATATTTTTATGCATTTTGCAGGATCGCATGCCATTTCTCATGATTTCCTATGGATCACGTTCACATCTATGCATTTTTTGCAAGCACGTTTTTTGGAAAGGGTCAGAGATTTCTTTTCCTGAAGCAGTTTTCGTTTATGGTCCAATAGACTTCAATGGAACCGCTTATAAAACGTACGTTTTACATACAAATACATATGGTAGAGCGGGACTCCTTGTTCCTGGTAGTGGACTGTTTGGTGGCAGGCCCAGGTCATTGTTTTGAAGCATCTGCCCAAATGAGGCGTGTGAGAAAATACTTGAGTCTGAGCTGCTCCCATAAGACCCAATATCTATGTAAGTGAAACTATAATTGGCATCTGTCACTGCAAATAACACAAATTAAAAATATTTTTTAGTTATAAAAACTGCTGCATAATAAAGCTACTGGCTTTATTATGCGAATGTGTTTCCCATCTATCGCACCCAGACAATTT